TTCCTAAAGTAAAAGGCAAGGACACACCACAGAATGGTCTAAAAGAGAAGACAAAGACCTGCTCTAGAGGCTTAGAGTATTCTAGAGGGAAAGTTAAAAGTTAGGGGATGCATGTTATATCCTTAAAAAGCCCCCTCCCCCGTATTTATAGGGAGAGATTGAGGAAAGGATGGGGATGTTTATGGGTCCACATTTTAAATTGAACTGACCAAATTCACACTTCTTGGACAGAGAAAGTGATCCCATTCACTGTAAACATTGGTCATGGTGGGCATGGAGTTGGCCTTAAAGTTCTGATTTCCATATGAGATGCTGGAAACAAAGCTTGGAGCTTGGAATCTGCACTCTTCTTTCCTCCTTGGAGCTGATATGGACAAAGCCACACTGGCTGCCTCTCCAAGGTCAGGAGCTTCATCTCGGAGAAGAGGTAAAAGGGTGCCCTGGCGAGGGTAGTGTGGATGCCACCATGTGAGCTATTTTGTATCCTCTGCTGCCTTCTTCCTTCCCCCACAAAACAGCCCAGCTAGATGGTCAAAAATGGCCAGCTAGCAGAAGTGTAGAGTGGGAGGTGTGTGAAGATAGCAGTCAGCGCTGCTGCTCTTGCTGTGTAGGATGCCTGTGAAACTCCAAGTCTGGGCTGTTATGAGCATGGAGGGAACAAGCCATGGGTTTGTACCTTAAGCTGGGTAGCAGAACAATTGTCCTTCCCTGAACTTTGTGGTGCAAGAACAAAGAAAAAAAAAACACCATCCATTTCCACCCCCAGCCCCTGGTGAAAATAACACTTCACAAGCCACATTCAGTCACTCTGACATCTTATTGACGGGACTTAAATATAGAATTAAGGTGCTTAAGGACATCCACACAGGTTTCTAGTCGATGACTTTCACCAGCTCAGCCTTCTCAGATCCGAAAGGTACAAGCCAGCTCTTAATCTGAAGACATAAAAGGGAGTTAGGCATGGTTTTAGCAGCTTTAGGGTTTTACCTACCATAAACCACAGCCGCTGCTACGCTTGTCATATACTTTCACGGTCATCTATGGGTAGCTGCAAAATGGGGAGGCATGTGAACCATGCAAATAGGGCTCCAAAATTTACTGGCCCACCTGCCTGTCCACAGCATTTTATTTATTGGTGGCCTAAAGAAGAGCCAACTTGTGCAAAGCTTTATTGCCTAGTTGCCCGGAGATGAATTGTGCTCAGGATGGATGCATTGTAATTTACAAGCCTGACCTACGCCACATATATTTTACAAGGCTGGATCATGATTATATTGCTAGTGAAAAAATATCCAGTGAACCTCACACTATATTTCAATACCACTTTATGCTAGATGAGAAAGATGTAATGTTGTGAAACAGGGCTGCCTCCCAGTGCTTAGTGACTCATATGTAAGCTTCTTTACCATCAGTGGAATCTGTGTCCATAGAGCAGTGTGCAGGATTAGGTCATTCTCACAAGAAGCTACAGCCAATTCATCACCCAAGCAGCAGATAATGTCAAATGTTGTCAGCATACCGAATCAATAGATCTCATCATTGCAGACTGCCCTGCAGGTCGCTCTGTGTTGTGAAATATTGATTATCTAGCAACACCAAATCAAACAGCAAAAATGATCCATAATGAATTGTCAAAACTAGTTAATCCGACACCTGAATCTCCCTATTATGCAGACTTATTGGGAATGATTCTGTTGAATAATGCATGCGTTCATTTGCACGACCAAAAAATAAAAAAATAAAAATTGCTCCCCAGCAAGACTCTAGACAGCAATAGATCAGATCCACTGTTCGTGGGCAGCATGGTTAAATGAAGCTACCGCTAAAGGACGCGTCTGTTGCACACTCGGTTCTGAAGACAGGCAAGCCAACTAGAGCAAATTATCACATGCAGATGACAGGACCTCTTCCTTGTCAGCCTTCTGCCTCCTGCAAAGACTTTCCCATTTAGGAACCCGTTTGGCCTGCCAGCGCTTGCTATAATGACAAGGCCAAATGACATTACATTACGCAGTAGAATCCTTTTGTCTGCTTCCATATGCTGCTGTTTCATTAATTTTGTTGCCTTCCCTCTATTTATGTGGGGAACAACCCCATGGCCTCCTGACATCAGCTGGAGGGGGGAAATGGGATTATAGGCAGTCCTGTGACCTTGGTGCTGGGAAGCCCTGCTGCCTTCAGAGATGGTGTGGAACGAACACTGCCAGCTGCTTCTCTGAGGTCAGAAATCAGCTTCAGAGAGGAGAAAAAGGGCCATGTAGAGGCCAGGGAGGGGAGCAACCTGGGCTGACCATCGATATATTCTCTCCCCTTTGAACTGCTTCACTGGGACAGCTGAAAAGAGCTGCCCAGATGGAATGCTGGGTGCAGGGCAAAGGAAGCCACTGTGCATGAAAGCTCCCGAATTTGGAGGCTTCTGTGCACTGAGGGAGGGGGACATGGGACTGTGCCCTTAACGTATTTTTAAATTGCCTTTCAGGAAAAATGGTGGTATCTTAAAGTATCTGCTTCTAGCCACCTTGAATACACCAGGAGAAGTTGGGAAATCAGTATTTCAAGTAAATATTAATAAGAACAATAGGAGTGGAAGTCTAAAAGAGAACCAATGAATAGAAATTGCAGTGAAGCAGATTTTGGTGAAACATTAGGAGAAACTCTCCAAGAGAGATCTGACTGGAATGGACTGCCTCGGGGTGGTGGGCTGGAAATACATCTCCTTCCTGGATGTATTTCATCAAGGGCTGGACAGTGATCAGAATTGCATCCTACCCCACTGATCTTGCTTTGTGTGTGTGTGTGTGTGGGGGTGTTGGATTAAATGACCTCCAAGATCCTTTCCTACTCTACAATTCTATGAAATGTATTTTTCTTTTCAATAATTACATGATAGACCCATTAAGAGACCTGCAGACATTGTGACTGTCCCTAGTTCTGTCTCTTTCCACTCCTGATGTCACACTGAGCTTTGCAAGTACTGTAAACCCTCTAAGACCCAAGCTAGATGGCACTGGGATGTATTGTCTATGTTTGATGAGCCTCAGAGAAAGTAAGAGTAAAGCAAGATGTCTTGTTGTTTCCTAAGCCTCTCTCAAGTTTGCAGGTCATCCAGACCCCCTGCTATTCCCCAGATAAAGGCAAGGGTTTCTCCCAGAATTAAAAAAATATGCTTTCCCATGGTGAACCATGGGATATAAAAGAAGTAAATATAAAATATTTTTATAAGTAAATATAAAAGATAAATATAAAAGTATATTTATAGACTCCTGGTTGGATGAAGTACTTCCTGTGAGTGAACACAGTGGATTCCACACTTCATTTGGAGTTGCATCCTAAGAGACTGCTTGCCAAAATTTTATTTGTGAGGAGAAGCCAAGAGGGGGTAATACATCAAACCCCTCAAACTGCCAGTAGTATGGCATCAGTACTTGGCTTCAGAAGCAATGAATTCTGGTAGTAGCAATCATTGCCATGGAAACTATAGAAGAGTTAACCCCTTGTGGAGAAATTACACTCCATGTGTTCAGACAGTGTGCGGATTGGGACTGTGCATGTTGACTGAATGGGTACATGCTTTTCAACACTCTCAGGAATCCCACTACAGAGGACTCCAGTCACCTGTATATATGTTCCCTTAGAGCAGTGACGGTGAACCTTTTAGAGACCAAGTACCCAAACTGCAACCCAAAACCCACTTATTTATTGCAAAATGCCAAGCCTGAAATAAACCCTGAAAACTAAGGTTTTAGTTTAGAAAAAACAACTCACAGCCAGTCCAAGCAAATATACATATATCTTTGGCAGTGCACGGACTGGCCATGCAAAACCTTGGACGAGCTGCAGCTAACGAGTCGTGGCCCGTGGCATCATTGCCTGGCGCTGCTACTCCTTTCCAAGCATGCACATGACCCCTCTGTGCCCTGTTCTCTGATGCTTGGCTGCTGGGGCGATGCTGGAGTGACTTGGCTCAGGCATGCATGCCATGGGTTCGCCACCACTGCCCTAGAGGCTTGTAGGTTATCCTTCAGTCCTTCTGCCCAGTGCATCAAGGTTTGGGAGAGGAGTTGGCAGGGCAATGGATATCCCTCTCCATGTATTCAATGGCGCCTTGTTTTTGAAGGGGATACATAGAGAGTGATAGTTAGGCCTTCTAGGCATTCATGACAGGAACAGGAGAGGGATTACCATGGGGAAGCTGTTTTTGATTGGCTTGGCTCAGCTGAAGATTGAAGTTAAATAACTTCTTGTACTGAAAGCAAGTTTCCTGAATGAAGGCCAAGTCAATTTCACAAACCCTGAATGTTGTTTTTTCCTCAGATCAAGATCTGAATTCTCAGCTTCCCCTCCATCCATCTCTGATGTTTTCTCTACTAGTGACAAAAGACCATTGCAAAACAAAAGCAAAACAAAGACATCCATATTGGCCATAAGTAAGCAAGCAAGCAAGCAAGCAAGCAAGCAAGCAAGCAAGCAAGCAAGCAAGCAAATAAATCTGAAAACCATAGTATGTAATACCTTCAAGTCAAAGATCACAAAACAAAGCAACAAAACCATTCAGGCTTTCATGATCTGCAGATCTCTTTACTGGGCAAGATGTTCAAAATATCTTGTGTTGTTTGGGGTGGAGGGAGAGAAATGTTGCCTGGATGATGTAGTCAAGTTACCTGCATCATCACAATTTTATAGAAACCCCTTCCCCGATATCTTAAATTAAAATGCATTTTAAATCTGAGTGTTTGCAAACCCTCTTCTGTTTCATTGTAAGACAATGACTATACAGACACTGTGAATGAAGCACCAAATCAGCCTTCCTTCCTGCCCATTTCTCTCCACCTTTGCTGATCTGCTGTCTGTAACATCTTGTTTGCTGGAGAATTCTGGAGATCTTGAAAACTTGTGCATGCTTATAATAATGGATTTGGCCCATTAAAAGTACTGCAATGTTTTTGGAATGCTTCCCATTATGGCAACCTTTTTATTGCAGGCATGAAGGAAAGTTTTACCTGTAAAGTTGACTTTCAGTAGGTAGTCTTTGTAAAGTCTCTTGCCATCCAAATGCTTCATGGCATCACAAAGCTTAGTAGTGTTTGGGCACATGGTCCGTTGCATTTTATGCAAAGCATGGGCCATTGCGTAGACAGCATTCACCACAAACATGATTTTGGACTCTTGTTCGTAGTTGGAACTGTTGATGGATAAATGTTTGTCGCAAGCTTTTCGGTGGGCCTTTCTGTTCTGAAGGCTGCACTGGAACTTCTGCTCCCAAAAATCCTTGAACCAGGGATTGCGATGGTTATTGTATGGGGTGAGGCTTTGGAAGTATTGGTCAAATTCTTTGATTGGATGGGAAGCCAGTTCTAGGGTGACGGCACCATATGCAACATGCTCGTTGCCCTTCACAACACTCTCCTGTGCTCCCCACCCATCGCTGGCAACCCATGTAAAGGAAACATTGAATCGGTTGGCTGCTGCAATGAGTTCCCGAGAGTCATCACTGCGCATAAACAGGACAACCACTCTGGCATTGGGTTTCTGGAGCAACTCTCTGATGACGCTGTCATAAGATTTTCGGATATTGGAGCGGCCCACCTTCTCCGAGGTGGCAATGCATATATTTCGGAGACGGGCTTCTTGTTCAAAAGCTTCGATCCCTGTCTCTCCATAATCTCCTTCGGATGCCACCGTTGACACATAGGTCCAGTTAAAGAACCGTAGGATCTCAGCCATTGCTTTTGCTTGGTAGAAGTCAGGTGGGACCGTGCGGGCAAAATAGTCATACCGAGACTTGTCACTCAGCTTGGCGCTGGTGGATGCATAACTGATCTGAGGAATTTGGAAGAGCCTTAGCAAATTTGCCACCTAGAAAGAATATATATATATAGTTGCTTATATGAACAAATTCCAACCTTAATCGAAATCACAGCTTTTGACTATTTCCCCATGATTTCATGGAAGGGGAATACATGAATCACGTAGCCCTACTGGTGACAAGAAGAGATAGTAGTGGTGATGGCAGGGACATTAGAGTACGGGACGTTTTGTATTTCAGATCAGGTTTGGTCTGTAGCTGCACATTTGTTACTCGATGACCAGAATATCAAGCAGTGATTTGCATCATGGCTATTTCCCCCCACTCCTTCCAAGCACTTCAGGACAAAGTTTTATTTTGTTAAAGTTAACCAGCTAGGCTGGCTTTGTAGTACAGAAGAGGAGAATTGCAGAAGTCAATAACCAAAGAAGCAAGTATAGTTAGAATACTGGCCATGAATGATACAAAGTTCTTTCCAAACTGAATACCAGTCCTCCCTTCTAAACTGAAAAGAACAAGCCATGCCTCTAAGGCAGATCCTCCTGCTTAAGGGACAGTTGCTTGGACTGTCTGATGCTTCTAAACTGGCCTGCCCAATTAACCTGATGCAGTATCCTCAGATTAGTCATGGTAGGTCCACCTGCGCACTCACATTACCATGCTCACTAAACTTTCCCACATAATTGGAAACTGTATGATTTTCAGTGATTGTCAGGCTTATTTCTGGGTCCACTGTCCTTGGCACTTCAGCTGTGGATTTTGACCCGCGCTCGTTGTGTGGTGCACTACACTGGCTCTCTAAGCCTGCAGCACTCTGTGTTTCCAGGCAGTCTCCCTTCCAAATACTAACCAGGCCTTATCCTGCTTAGCTTTTGAGATCAGGAGAGATCAGGTGCTTTCAGGGTAGCATGGCCAAAGACATAAAAAAAGGCATTAACTAATGAAATGTACATCTATTCAACCATCTCATTTTCCCATGGCTGCATTCTACTGCAAGTGCTGGTGAGAAAACCTGAATGTCAAAAATGAGCAAACTCCTCAAAAGAGGACTTTTGAGAGAGGTGGCACAGTGGTTGAATCTGCTGGGCTGGTTGATCGAAAGGTCGCCGGTTCGAATCTGCACAATGGGGTGAGTTCCCGTTGCTCCGTCCCAGCTCCTGCCAACCTTGCAGTTCGAAAGCATGCAAATGCAAGTCGATAAAAAGGTACCACTTCGGTGGGCAGGTAACGGTGTTCTGTGCACTCCGGTGTTTAGTCATGCTGGCCACATGACCACGGAGACTGTCTGGGGACAAATGCTGGCTCCCTCGGCTAGGAAATGCAGATGAGCACCACCCCCTAGAGTGAGGCATGACTGGACTTTAATGTCACATGGAAACCTTTACCTTTACCTTAAGAACTCACTATTCAGATTTCAAAAGCAATGTTTAAAAGCAGCAGCCACACTAAAAGATTATCATCTAAAATCTATCCCTGCTCAAAGATATGCAGAAAGAATTCTGGAAGAAATAATGATGAATAAAGACAATTGGCACCACAGTCATGGTAGGAGAGTGGATTTCCCTTGTGATAGGAAGATTTGGCAAAGCCAATTGTGTTAATGCAAAAGAAAAATACCATCAATTATTGTCCCGATGGTTTCTTACACTGAAGGATAAATCATATTGATAAAGCATCATTAAAGATACCATTCTATGGCCTCCTCCCATCCTCTAGGAAGCCATAGGACTATTTGGAGTCCTAGCTCTGAAATTCTGTGAGGAATCACACTGGTTCCTAGCTTTACACCAGCCTTCTTATCTTGCCACCCTGGCACTGCAGACAGCTGAAAACAGCCATCTAGATAAAATACTTGGCATGAGTCATGGTGACAGCAGAGACAGCTGCACTGCTCCACATTCCATGCATAGGATGAACAAAAACCTCTTTTATGTATGTGTCATTCTTGCCTTCATATTGAAATATTTGGGATTGGTATTAAAAGAAATACACAGAGGATGACTGCTAGATATGAAGGAATACTGGAGCCAAAATCAAGCCAACTAATTTAACATGCCTCTAGAAATGAAGAATGGAAAGCTAACTTTATCCTTTCAAACTTTCTGATGGTGGCTAAAATAGTACTTGCTAAGAACTGGGAAACTCCTGGTAGTCCAGTGCATAAGGAGTGTATAAGCAGAGAATGGCAGGATAGCTAGATAAATTAAGTGGGATAGTTAGATTAAAAGATGATAGATAACATTGATTTAAATTAATGTTTGAGTGGCAATCTTTTATGGGTTGCATACCAGCAAAATGATACACCAGAGCTGTGACGAATTCTGGCTTATCATCCATGAGCAGCATGCTAATGAACCATGCCTGGTTCATTCTACCTGCCTCTTTTTCTCTGCTAAGTAGGGAAGAGCACTTATCTCTGATCAGCCACTGATTGGGGTTATTATTATTCTCCTCCTGGTGGGACCAGGGTTAGGGTTAGGGGAAAAAGTGACCAGACTGGATGGAGACCTCCCCCCACCCATGGGCTTTAACAGGCCCACAAGCCCTAGATGCCACCTCCCTGGGATACAATAACGAGGAACTCATGGAAAAGAAAAAGCTGGCATTATGGCCAAACTCAGAATTCTGGCTTGTGACTCCCAAACCAGTGAGGCATCAGAAGGCGATTCCAAATTCTAGCTTATTAGGAAAACAACAAAGTATGAGCATTCAGCTATTTCTTCTTGGTAAGTGTCTGTTCACTGAGTTGTTGCTCTGGTTAGCAGAAGGAGTCAAGCAGAAACTGAATATGATGCCAGGATTCCCTGGAGTCCAGGTTTATTGTTTTGTGCAAAAGTGGCCATACCATTTGGAGGTTTAAGACATAGCTTCTCTCTAATGTTGAGCTGTAATATAAAATACGGCATCTCTCAAATATTTAATTAGCTTATCAACGATCTGAGGCAAATCAGCATTTATGCTATCCACATGGCTTAATTTATACTGGATGTTATAAGGTTTATATTGTATTATTTTTAAATGTGAAACAAATAAATAAATGAAGGGTTTTGTTTGAGGCTAAATGAAAATTTGATGGGAAATGGCATACTCCCACAGGCAAATCACTACTTCAGTCTATGATTATCAAGAGAGGAATGTGCGTGTTTGAACCAGATTTGAGTTTTAATACTTGTTTGATGTTTTATCCATAAAGTTTTAAACTAGTAGACTGAGAAGTCACCAAGTTTGTTTAGCCAGTCACCAATAGATATTCAAGGAAGGATACAGTGCATTCATGGCAACTTGGGAGACAAATCCTTAAATTGCATCACTAGGATAGTCTAAGAAGATTTTACTGCATTCCTTTGAAACAGATTCTCTACCAATACTTGTGCCTGCTGGGAAAATAATCAAGACAAAATAATGCTGGAAAATGAACAGCGCCTGTTTAGACTTGCTGCCTGCCAGCCATCTTGGAAATTAAACTGTAAGGATTTAGCTAAAAATCCATTATCTGCTATTATGACTCCCTAGGAAGGCAGTACCTTAAAGAGCCTTATGACTTCATTAGCGAAGAAGAACAGTGGGAGAGGAGCCACTTTCCATCAAAAGGAAGCATCTGATCTTTACCCTATTTACACCAACTTTAAAGTGTCTTTGTTCCAGCTGAATCTGGATGTTGAATAGCTTCCTTCATCACCTAACAATGGCAGCTATTGACAAAGACCAATAGTATGTAAAATGTGTGTTACCAACTGACCTGTGAATCAAAAGTACCCACTCACTCAGGAGGCTTCCTGCTTTATTTGGAGTGAATCACTGTTCCAATCTTGACTTCTATTCCTGTGCACAGATTCCTGTTCTGAGGATGGGTAATTCTTGCTTTTTTAAACACTCAGAAACTAACCGTTTTAAGCTGTAGCACATTTTATTCCCCAAAGCTTGTCTTTACCAGACCTCTGGGAAACACTAGAACTTTTCATGTGCTTCTCTATGCATGGGCTTAAAGTGTGGAGGTGAATTGGAGCAATGCGCCTTGCTTTTATCCTGACATCACCTACCTTCCAGGGTTCCCCAGACGGCCAATTGGTCAGAGGAAAATGGATTTTGCATGGTTCTCGTCCACATTTCAAAAGATTGAAATTTATCGCCTCTTTTAATCAGACGTAGTTACTAGCAGTGAGAGTGTTAAGTTAAAATGGACTGCCATTTTGGCCCTGCACCTTTTGCCTTTGGACTCAGGAAGGTAACCCTGGAAAGCTTCCTTCCAATGGAATTTGGCCCTGGGACTGAAAGAGGTTCAACACCTCTGGTGCAGATGGTTGCAAGGGGCCCCCATGGATGAGCAACTGCTCCTACCTGGGCTCTTCTCACACTTAGGACCTGCAGTCACATAGAAGTCCTGTTACATGGAACACGCTACACCCTGCTGACCATATGGCTGCTGAAGGGGCAGAGCCAGAAGGTCCTGCATGATCAGGGGAGAGCTCTGTTGCAGGATCACCCTGCTCATGAACGCTGTGTCAATATAACTTCTGTTTCAGAGCAAATGGAACAGTTTCTGTGCAAGAGAATAAACTGAAATAATTAGTATTGAGCTCCTGCTCTGCCTACAGACTTCTCAAAGGAATCTGCTGGCCGTGCTAGAGACAAAAGTCTGGCCTAGGTAGGCCCTTGATCTGATCTATTAGGGCCCTCTTAAATTCCATGAACATGAGTCAGACTTTTTTTTTTTTTAAAGAACTGTTCACTTTCAGAAATCAGAAGAGGAAAATTTTATCCTCCTAGAACATTCTGCAGTCATTTGATGTTTCAATAATAAGTTTTCCCCAATGGAATTTCCCCAACTGAGTTGAAGCCTGCAAATTTGATACTGCAGAATTCATACACATTACATGTTTTATATAATGGTTGTCTCACTTTAAAAAAGCAACTGTCTTACTTTCAGGCTGCAATCCTAAGAATTCTTATGAAAAGCTCAGTTGGTCTTACTTCTGAGTGGCATGATCAGGACTGTTTGCTCAGCATGTCAAGCACAACTACGTAGACATCATGAAAAAATGTAAGAGTTTACTCCGAGTAAACATACATGACCAGCTTGCCTTCCATGAATGGCTAGACCAACACATTATGAAGCATTTCTCTTGGCCCCACCCCTTTCTCCCAGCTCCTAATTGTTCAGTGGTTGTTCAAGCTGTTGTGTAGGGTTTTCCTATATTTTAAAAGGTTGAACTACCTCCCTTGAGGCTAATTTTCTGCTACTAAAGGTTTTACACTTAAAATTTGTTAGCATGTTTGATATGTTTCAGCCCTACTCTTTGGCTTTCTCTCTAGTAAATATGAGGGAGCTTCTCTCTAGCCCTTGGACCAAAGAGGATAGGCATGAAATCACCATGCTGAAGTACATTAATCAAATTTATTTATTTATTAAATCTTTGTTCCACCTGCAAGGTGGTATATGTAGGTCCTGGGTGATCTTCCAATCAGGCACTAGTCAGACAGAAATGTTCAGTATGTTTGCTGTGTCAGATGCCTTCAGGTTCTGCCCTTGACATTATCTTGATAGCAAATAAATTGATTTAAAAATTAACCTGTAAATTCCATATACACAGAATGTAAAGCACTCTGGCTTCATGAGCCCTTATAGCACATCAATCAGTTTAATCAGTTCTCCTTTTTGCTTCAAATATGCACCCATATCATTTCCATCTTGGGTGCTATTTTTTCACACTATTCAATAACAGCTAACCCTACCAAACTACTCAGATAATCCAGCATCACCTCCCTGAGGTTTAAAGGGCGATTCATTCTCTTGAGGTCTAATTTGCCATATAAAAGGTATCCATTTGCTTGCTCTTTACTTATTAGTTCTGTGGGATCAGCAGCTACGAGCAGTCGAGTCATTTCCTGAAAGCATCTTCCAGAACATTCATAAAAGTCAGTCTTATGTACATCTTAGAACTCAGTAGAACTTTGTTAGAAGCTGATGTTACTACAGTTATGTGAATCAAACTGCATCTGCTTTGCTTTGTTTTCTGCCACCACTCATTTATGTGCTAGCTGTAATGACATATTTGCTTAGAATATTTTAATTTTCCTTACAATAAAGTGGATAATACCTTGGTGATTATCAGATTAGATTGCTGCAATGTACAGAATTATTATTATTATTATTATTATTATAACATTTCTATGCCGCCCCTTGCTGAAACCTCGGGGCGGATGTGGCATTTCGCTTGAGTACCAATCCAGTTGATTCAGACTGTGCGGCTATGGAGTGATCCTTACAACATGGAACACATGGTGCAACATGTTTGGCAGCCTACATGGCGAATCCAAAACCTGCATTTGTCTTTGTGGGTTCGTTCAGTTCAATAGGATTTGTTCCCAGATAAATGTCTATAAGGTGGCAAGTTTGATATTCTCTTATCGGCTTCCTGAGCAATGTTTCAAGGTTCTGGCTGTGAATTGGGGTGGGATGTGTGAGAGACTATTTTGGCCCACAACTCCCATGATCTCTTACCACTGGTATGGTCACTAGGGCTGATAGGAGTTGTAGACCAAAACATTTGAAGGGTCACGCATTAATCACTCTTGCTGTAAATGTTCCTGGGCATAGGATAATCAAAGGAGTCACATGAGACTACTCATTTGCTTATTTGTTGCCTGCTTCGAGTAGTTCTGAGATGAATATCCCCAGGGATGGGCCATTTTCAGTTGTGGCCCGTCCTTGCAGGGGATTATATGACTACTTTCAGGCATTAGGGTCACTGATCTATCAGGAAATGGGTATCAAAAGGTCCTCTTCCCTGTTCCAGGTGGCTTGTGAAAGGGAGAGAAATGGAATTTGTTTTGCTGCTGCTGTGTTTTTGTTTTGCTGGTTTTGCATTAGACCAAGCTTTAGTGGTGACAGTTGGGACTACAACAAAATGTTGCAGTGTAGACAGCAGGCCTGCAATTATTCTATTCCATCTCTCACTCCCCAGTCTTCTGCTTCCACCCCATCAGTCAGTCAACATTTTGTGTCAACTGAACATGCTCTGTCCTCCTTGGTTGATGATGGGGGCCGTCTCCCCCTGCACCTGCAAACCTTTGGGTTGCTCCAAACAAGGTGGTACCACCTGTTTGTGCCTGGGGAGTGCCATGATGGATACCAGCACTCTTAGTCTATTTTTATTGTACAATCTCATGGGTTATTCACCTCTTTGGGTGCCTTTTAATGTGGTAGGGTGGATTACAAATTATTTAACTAAATAAGAAATATACAGTGAAGATATTCTTCACTTTTCAGCAGGGCTAAATCTGCACAGTAGATCTCTCCCAGTAAAGGATGCTATTAAAGCTCTTACTATCCGCCCCCTTGTAGTTTAAACATAGTGAATATTTCAGATTCACATGATTTTAATTGGTTCTAGAGATCAGATTATGCAGTGTGAATTTTGGTTTTGTTTTGATTGACTGCCTGTGTGTGTTTGTGTACACATGTGTGGTCATACTCATTGGTCATTTGCCAGGTTTTGGTGGAAGAAATGAAGAGAGAAGCAAGAATTTGGCAACAAAATAAAATGATCAGACTGACAGATGCCCAGACAGAAACCGCAGGTCATTATAAATATTGCTGCAAATGCCAACAAATAAAAAATGGAAATGAAGCTTGTTTGACTAGCATCATTCAGCATAAATTAATTTGTGGCTTTTACGTCGATTATTTGCAATGAAGCTGGAATTCCCCTGTGCAATAAGAATGAGCAAGGAGCATTAAAATGCAGTCCCTGGAGTATTCCCATAGACTGTAATACTCAAGAACAATTTGGGGCATGCACTTTGTGTTTTTTAAATAACAAAAGAATGCTATTTATCCCCTTATTCAATTTTGGCAGGTGGTTGATGGCACTGGTGATAAGAACATAATTTTCAGCACAGGGGAGAACAGAAAGAAGGCCGATCTCCAGATATTTTGGACTTTCCTGAGAAGCCAATGGTAGAAAGTTTTATTCAATCCAAACATCTGGAGATGTATTTACTGCCCACCCCTGGCTCAAGGAATTCATGAGAGTCAAGTCCCAAACTGCAGACCCAAATCTTTTGGTAAAAATGTGGGGAGCTGGCTGCTTAAGGGCAGAGCACATGTGCCAGTTTCAGTCTGCAATATCTGCAGTTCTAGTTTCTCTCTGCCTCAGACCCTGGAGATCCACTGCAGTTGGATGAAAATAGATGGACCCTTGGCCTGTCTCAGCATAAGGCAGCTTGGGCATATTTCTTAGGTGATGAAGTTCTTTACATGCAGACCCACTTGAAAATATGGGGACAGCTGAGCTGGTTCAGTGGGCCTGCTTTAGACATCTGTGCCTGTGGAAATGCAGGATGTGGATACGGAAAGACTTTCAAACAAATGATCTGGCACACAGATGTGTCCAATGTAGTGTTTCAACCAGCTCTTTCTCTTCCCTACAGTACTTACAGCACCTGGCCTATTACAGACAAGGGAATTGCCCCTTGTAGCTTTTGCTGTGTTTCCAATGGGAGTTGAACAGAAAGATTCTGGTATGCAGTGGCTAAAACCCTGAGATGCGATTGATGATTCAAATCGCTCTTCTGCCCCTGCTGAGGCAGGGATTGTGTCTTCATGTGATCTGTCCACTTTATGCTTGATGTGAAGTGCATCATGGGAGGAAGGGGAAGTGTCTGGTTCTGCGCCATGCAAGAAGCATCATTGCTTAGTAAGCATGTGGTAAGGAGCAAAGTGCACAGAGCAATGTGCTGAAGTGCTTCAGCCCTGTCACCTGGGTTGTGGCTGTAGTTCCTTCCTGAATGGTCAAAGAACAGCAACTTTTCTGGGCATCAGTTACATAGCCTAGTTCTGCCTTGCTTGTTGCCTGAGTCTGAAGCACCTGGCTAAACTTACATATCCACAGCAGCCATTCCTTTTCCAGAAGGGGAGAAAATCTCACTGAACAGGTCCTTGATCCTGCATTCTAGGACTGAGGCACTTTTCTATTGATCTCAAGAAGAAGACTGTCTCAAGCCAGACGATTAAAAAAAAACAAAACAGACAACAGGTACAAAATACAGGAGTGGTTATGCCTCTAATTTCTAGTCATGCAGGAGAGTCTGACATTTTACGATCGGACAACATACTGATGGTGCATTGCTCTGAACTTTCTTATTGTGGTTGAAGCTAGATTAGATGATGCCTCAAGGCCTTTCTTGTGAATGTAATTTCTTTGATTCTAAAGTATCTGCTGTTAGTCCTATTAGCAGGTGAATTATTCCAGTTCTACCATTCCATAATCCTTAGAATAGGGAATAATGAAACTTTCAATATTGTCGCATATGTCAGTTTCATTATTTCACATTGTAAAGGTCTCTCATCTTGTCATCTGAAGCTCACAGTTCTCAGAGGACAGAGCTCTGGCTATGTGGCTCCTACGTTCTTGCTCTCTTCTTCAGCATGGACATACCAAGCTCTAGATATTTGAATTCCATCAGCCCCAGCACCATGGCAATAGATGATAGGACTTGTAGTCAAATAGGCTTTCACTCGTGAGGCAGCAGAAGGCTGCACTGCTTTGTCTAACAGAGCTGCCACACGTGCCACCTCCTTTAGACTCAAGCTGAAGCTGGACAACATGGCCCCTCCTGGACACATTCTACCAGGACACTTGCACAGGCCAGGTGACCTTTCCCTTTGGATGCCTTGCAGTAGGTGAAGTAGCATTCAGACTAAGGGCTTGTTCTTAAGAATTGGAGGGCTCACCTGTATGGAGACGCTGCTGTAAGAACCTCCAATGACACCTGCAATGAGTAATGGAACATTTTCTTGAATCGCGTAGGATCCATCGGGACACATGTACTCTGCTTCATCCACCTTAGTCAAAGAAGCCCTGACAAACTCCAGGGACTGCTCCAATGCATATGTGTCCCTTGAGCAAGTATCCAAAATATGAACGCCAAGCTTAATTCCTGGAAGCAAATGACTGTCCTTGTTGATCTGATCGATAGCAAACAACATTGCCTCCAAACGTTGGATGCCTCGGTCTTCATTGATTCTCCCACATTCATCTGCACCAGAGCCCTTTTCCTTAATTGGGAACAGACCACCAAAAACAAGGTCTCCTTCAATCTTAATTTCTTTCCTTATAAAGTTGTGGTCACCTAGGGAAAGGAAGACACCTTTGGAAAACAAAACCAGCGCAAGCACATGGAGCTTTGCCCACATCTTCACTGGTCCTATTCTGGCAGCTCTAAGAAACATCCGTAGGAATGCTAGAGGCCTTCATTCCTTCTAGTACATGGTCCCATAGTATGAAGTACCATCCCATCGGCCAGGGATGAGCAAGCCAGGCAGACCTTCCATCAAGACCCTAAAGGGACAAAAAGGGTTAGAAAAAAAATGAAAGTTAGATGAGGGCTTTCCTCACTAAAACATTCTGAGTTGGAGTTAGATCTAGATGTACTGTTCTATAACTTAGGCAGGGCTAATTGATGTCCAGTTGATTTTAGTGGGTTAGCTCTTGGGATCATTGAAATCTATGAGACATAACTTAATCATCACTAGATTAAGTTCCATTGATGACAGTTTTTTCCTCCTAAGCCCAAGTAAATATGGATCCAAGCCTTGGTCCTTAAGGTTTCAAAGAACACCATTCCATAGTGGTGGAGTAGGCACGCACCCCTGGAACAGGGCTATTTTGCATACAGTCATGAATGCCAAACTTTTGCATTGTGTGAAGTGGGCTTTGTTGTTATGAGGACATTTGCCAGAGTGGTCTGACAGCATAAACATTATAGCTTGAAGATCTTCATTGTTACTAGTGTAAAGACATGCTAAGGAAAAGAAAGGGAACCCTGCATTCAAATAATATGGGTTGTACAAGTGGTTGCTTGGAGACCCCCAAACACATGCTACTGAACTGAATATAGAGAGTCCCATGCAGTACTTGATCAATAAACCTGCTTTTCTCTTCCTGCCCCCATAGCTAAATAAGTAATTTCCTTGCCATCTTCCTTTAAAAAGTGTTTAGTTTTAAAAAAGTTTACTTGCAAATATAAGAAAAAGACATAGACAAGGACACTGTTAGTTTACAATAATGTTAACAGAAATTCAGTACTCTGAGTTTAAATATATATACATTCCTATAAGCAGCCTATATGTCTAAATAGTCTAAGCAAAATCAAGAGTAATGGATATATATATATATATATATATATATATATATATATATATATATATATTCGAAGGTAGGAAGAGCAGTGCAGTCCTCAGATCATTGAATAAGAGGTGCTGAATATTTATCTGTCAAAGCTTCTGGCTATGAAACTTTCTATATATAACCCCAGTCCTCTACTAGCTTCACTGGCTTCCCATCGAACTCCGGGCTTAATTCAAGATGCTGGTTATTACCTATAAAGCCCTTAACAGCTTGGGACCTGGATACCTAAAGGAATGCCTTCTTCCCTATCTGCCCTCCCATCCCCTGAGATCGGCAGCAGAGGCCCTCCTCCGGGAACCTTCCATGAAAGACATTAGGAGGCAATGTACCCGGAGGAGGGCTTTCTCTGCGGTGGCACCCTGCCGATGGAATGCGCTCCCCAGAGAGGTCCCCCTGGCACCGTCGTTATTTGTTTTTCGGCGCCAGGCTAAGACCTTTTTATTTCAACAATATTTTAATAACTTTTAACATCAGCTATATAGGTTTTTAATCTGCAGCCAGGGTGGATCTGGATTTTATTTGTATTATGTTTTATTCTATTCTTATTTATGTAAGCTGTCCTGAGGCTCTGTGAAAGGATGGCATACAAATATTCTAAATAAATAAATAAATAATATAAAGTTTTAATGTTTTTACTTTACAGAGGTTTCTGCTTGCAGATTCTTTGGAAGATCAATGTCTTTGGAAGATTAAGGCTCCTTTACATGTGTTTCCGCTCCACTCCTTGGGGATTTTTTTGCTCTATATTTTGCTACATTCCACAGTCATTGGATGGTATGATGATATAGCAAAATTGCACAAATACACATGGTGCGGGGTTCCTGGCCACCATTCACAGATAACACCGGCTCTTTAAAACACACACACACACACACACACACAGAAATGGTTAAAAGAATTGGAGAGGCCCTGGAAGATACAAAATACCCACTAAGTACTCAGAGTGAGGCTCATGAGTGCACAATAAATACCTCATGCAGGATGGCTTTATAAAGGCTCCCCAAATCCACCTTTTTGGTTGACCACCTGAGAGATGTGTGTAGGGAAGAAAGAGAAGGTGCATTGCTTTTGGGTTTGAACATTTAATAGGCTCATGACAGAAAAGCAGGGCATATGTTTTAAAAACATTAAGGTCACACTCCCATGGCCATCAGTCCCTGAACTCAGAGGTTTACTATCACCCAGTGAAGAGAAGGAGGACTGATGAAGGTGATATTCATCTTGTTGTCCATCTACCCTTTTTTTTGCCAGATGGGCTTTGTATCCCATCCAACTGGGCTATCTCAGAGGATGAGGGAAAGAAGTGGAGAAGTCTCAAAATAGCTTGTATCCTGGTCTCCCCAGTGTTCTCTTTCCTTTGCCCCTCACTTCCTCTCCAAGTTTGCTTTCCTGACTTTGGAGATTGGCTGATGTGGTTCTTTCCATGCCAAGTGTGGGGGAGAGGGGAGAAGGTGGGAGCTCCAGTCGCCACCTCCAAGGTTGGGATGTTGAGACACAGTGTGTATTTTACGGATATCAGATGCCGAGTGCATCTTGCCTTCTGGAATCATATGCTTGAATACTGCTGGAAACAGGATATCACACTGTTGAAATCTTGTGTTGGATCCAGGTGGGTTTTCCATAACTTGCTTGTATTTTCCCAGTTTTCCATAGGTCTGTCTTCTCTTCCCATCTTCTGCAGCATAACAGATACAGATGCAGCCTCCTAGCCAATAGCTAGTCCCTGGTCACCCCCCAGGAAAGGCTGAGAACCAACACCTGTGAGCCTCAACCACATTGGAAGCAAGCACAAATCTGGATACACTCATAATTCCAGGTTACCTTTAGGTTATTGTGGTTGGTTTGTCCTTAATCCTGTTCCTTGCTACTGTACGTTTGGCAAGTGAGCCCTCCAAATAAATCAAGTATGGTAATATTTATATAGAGCACGTCAATAATTGATGGCTGTACTTACCTTTTTTCCTTAAAGCAGAATTTATAATGATGATGCTTGCAGGCCTATGTATAATTTAGAAACACTTAGCATTATTTAAAACAGAGTGCTAAGATATTTAGAGGAGAGAAAATTAAAATTTAACACCAAAAGGAGGAGAAACAAGGTTGTTTGCTTCTGTAGATTTCTCCTCATCACCCAGCCTCCCTTCCCCACCAATGGGGTTGGGAGGTGCAGGAGGATGATCTGCAGGTTTTAAATAGGTAGAACCCCTCCTGTAAAGTGGCTCGATGCTTCAAAAATAGCAATGCTGACATACAGCATCAGCTGTAGCTCATCTGAACACTCAGTGCCTTGCCCGCATGGTTGATAAGCGATATCTCAGCTGGAAACAATTGTCTCCAACTGTTCTCTGCAGACAATCTGCTTTGCTGATCTAATGTGAATTTGCTGGGCTTTTAGTTGAACCACTGCAAATGTACAGCCCACAAGGTCAAGGAGGACACCATCTTCTGGGGCAGACTTCCCCAACCTCATGGCCACCAGATGTTCTGGAGAACAGGTTGTATCCTTGGCCCTCTTAGTGGACCAAGAGGCTGTATTCTGACACATCTGGAGGCTCCTGGTTGCAGAAAGATTACCTAAGGATTGCCAGGGTTCAAGATTTTTTCTAAGCTTGCTTCATCATCCTAAACTCTGGTATATTAAGGAGCCACCAGGAGTCTGTCAAGCAGAAAAGGATGCCCAGGAGCAATCATGTTAACCATCCTATTTCACAGGTCAAACAGAATTTTGATAGGAGCCCTTATGCAGCGGATCTGAGTTTGATCCGAGTTCCTCTGCAAAGCCACTGACAAGCTAAATCTCATCAGGAGTTAATCTAACTATGACAGTAGAATGGTGGTAAGTTAATCCATTCTCAGATCACTCTCTTCCTGCACAGAAAACCAAGTCTAAAATATGCCCAGTGACATGTGCTGGGCCAATGGCAATGTTGGGACACTCCTATGACTGTCAGGGTGGCCATCAGCTGCTTCTGATACAGAGGTGTAGAAATCTCCCAGAAGGATATGTTGATCACCATCTGATACCATCTCTGTCAGCTCAGGCGGAAAGAGTGCTGGGTGGCAAGAAGTGATATACCAGCAGAATGCTTCATTTGTCGCACTCACTAAAAACAAGATTTGGGAATGTAGATCATGACTTAAATTTGGAGGACACCTGAAGAGGGTGATGCAATCTCTATAGACTGCAGTAGCTCCTGAGTCCAGAGACTGATCTGGTGCTGCACCAAGGACCCAGGTGGACACAGCTGGGAGAGACCTACCTACACCAGATGTTAGACACAACAGGTCAGCATCTATTATGAATCAAGGAGATCTTACTAGACTGTGACATCACTCCCCCAGTCAAGCCCTTAAGTACCCCTTCCAGGAACATGGCAAATGCTACCCCCACAGAAGAATAAAAACAGAAGAGAGAGGAAAACGTGGGAGCTACCTTGAGTAGAAGGTTGTACTCTGTTGGTAGAAATGTAGGCTACTACTCAAATCAATCAATCAATCAATTACTGGGCTGGAGTAATCCCAACCTGAACCTTTAACTTAAGTCATTACCACAACTGTTGTGGTAAAATCCCACACTGAAAAGAATGAGATCAACCTGATTGTGAACATGTTTCGAAGTGCATCTGAAATGCATTCACCAAGTTCAATGGGATTGCTCTGTAGTAAACGTGCTGTAGAGGCAAAAGTGTGTTCCTGGAGAGAATGAAAGGTGCAATCCAAGTTGTGTGCTAAGGCAATAACAATTCTGCAGCCAGCAAAGAGTCTGCATGTATTTATTCCACCTTGCTAAATTTAAGAAGTTAAAAGACAAAAGCACAGTGTGCAACACTGATGTAATTCTTCCTCTGCCCTCATTGTCCCAAAGTTTTGTGTATACTCCCTGTTAAATGCCAGCTTTGAAAATTAGGAATGGACCTATGCAATGTTTCTGCAGCTGCTGCCCTTGCATGGCTTCTGGGATAGCCTGATCAGGGCCGGTAATTGATTTCTGCAATTGATCTGGAGCCATCTCCATCCAATTGCAGGATGACTTGCTCTCTCCCAG